CATGATCACAGAATGTGCAAGCATTTGTGTAAAAAACATGTACAAATACAGTTAAAAGTGGGCAATATTTAATTTTTCTCTCCCCTCTCAACATTTAGCAGCAAATTTAAACATTAAACATTAGCATTTGTGAATAACAATATTTCATTTGAATCTTTGCGTTCAGGCCTGGGCTGTGTATAAAGGCAAGTACATTGAGGGAAGGGACAAGGCTGACCCGACCATGTGGAAGACTCGCCTCCGCTGTGCGCTCAACAAGAGCACAGACTTCCAGGAGGTCCCTGAACGCAACCAGCTGGACATCACTGAGCCATATAAAGTCTATCGCATCCAGCAGGACAGTGGGTCGGTCAGGCCAGCAGGTACAAACCAAAGAACACGTTTCTCTTACTTTTCCACTCATTGGTATTATATCTATAAACATGTATATTCTGCAACAGAAGTTTTTGCAATTTTTTAAATAAACCCTTTTCAATTGTTAACCAATATATAAACTAGAATGTCACGAGCGTATATCTCCACTAAGGCACTAACAGTCCCAGTAGATTCAATCAAGCTGCACCAAATTACACAGACTCATAGAAATCAGTGTTCTAAATGTGCCAGAGATTTGTTTCATCAAGTTCCATCAATTGGTGAAAATGTACAAAAAACACATCTCACGGTGTCAAAGAAAGCAAAAAAAAATTCTGGATCCTCACCAAATTGTATTGGTTTTGTCCCCTGTCCTTGACCTCATCCTTCCACTGTTTCTTGGTAACCTGTCCAGTAGTTTATGTGTAATCCCGTTAATTAACAGACAAACAAATGAATGCGGAGGAAAACATAACATCCTTGGTGGAGGTCATTTCTTTCTAACTTGATTAAATCCACCATTTGTTTCTCTCCTCAGAGTCTCTACAGAAGGACAAAGTGATTATCGAGACGAAAATGTCTCCAAACAGTCCTGATATCTTGGATGAAAAGGTTGGTTCAAAACTTGATAATCAACTGACAACTTCAAATGAATACTTGACAATCTGTCCAACAGACGTGAAGAAAAACGTTAAGAACACAGTGTGAGGACAATCAGTTTGTTTTTTATGGGGGCAGTATTTCTAGTTTCACTCTGTGTCTCTTAAAGATAATCAGCATTTTCTTTATGACTCTGTAGATACAGGAGCTCATAGGCTAGAAGACCCTTGATCCCTCGTTTCCATTTCCTTAATCTTTTGCTGTTTTTTTTATATTTCCATAACATTTTCAAATGGTTAATTTTCATTTTATTAATTACAAATTCAGTTTTATTTCCGTGGTGGCAAATCA